TGGAATGACTTGCGTACTTGTGATGTGAATGTGCTCCTTCTATATTCCTTTCTAGTGCACAGTTACTCATCTTGTGTGATTGTCTCATTTCAGTTCATTCTTAGTTGCCTCCTTCTTGAATTACAACACTCTGCCCTCCTGGTTGACTGTCTTTTCTCTTTTGTTCATTTTGAGACCATCTTCTCTCAGGAATACATGAATTTAGTAGTTTCATCATGACAGTCCATGTTGATTTGCTATATATGTGTTCAGTTTTCTAAATAATAGCTTTCCTGTCTCTGGACTTGTTAGACTTTTTCTGTCTTATCTCAGTATGGTTATATAGTATTTTCTTCCTCATGGATCTAAATGAGGTCCTTTATAAAAAACACATTGTTTGGGGTATAGACTAAAAGCTTTATATCTGTTATAAATTAGTTTATTTTAAAAATTCACTTATTTTGAGAGAGAGACCATGTGTGTGCATGTATGCACACACTGAGGGAGGGGCAGAGAAAGAGGGAGAGAGAGAATCCCAAGCAGGCTCAGCTCTGTCCGAGTGGAGCTCGATATAGGGCTCAATCTCACCAACTGTGAGATCATGACCTGAGCTGAAATCAAGAATCAGACACTTAACCATAACTGACGGAGCCACCCAGGTGCCCCACTGTTATTCTTTAGTTTTATTCATTATTTATGTAAATGTTTTTGTGGGAGATATAGTTTACATGCTCCAGGAGGTGTAGTTTGCACAGTTCTTATGTGTGTATGGTTGTCACTTTCTTATCTTCAAAGTGGGGCATGATTGTTGATGGTGTGCTGTGGATCTGAATATGAATTTTGCGGAAATTAACAACATTTCTTTATATATTTTCTTAGTGGTTGAGGAAAAGAAAGTGCATGATTGCCCTGTGTGTATGAAGTTCTGGCATGTAGCGCTGTGTCGTGTTGCTCTCTTTCATTTACAATCTCCACCATTTGTTTTACATGACTTAGATTTTTTCTCCCATGCCTGGAGAATCCTGTGAGAATGCCAACCCTTCCTTGGGCAGAAGAATGTCGGTTAATGGTGAGAAGTTGCTTAAGAGAGAAAAACCCAGGGAGTTAATTTTTCCATCTAACTATGACCTCCTGCGACACCTGCAGTATGCAACACATTTTCCCATTCCTCTGGTAAGTCACTGCTTCCATTAGCTGGCAGCGTGATTGTTGCACTGTAGGGTCATTAACCATTGATTATTCCATTGTGTGCCTCAGTAACACTTATGAAAGGTGAGTTTTTGCATTTACTACTTCTTTTACAATTATCATTGGATGACATATCATGTAGTTCAAATTTGTGATGTGATACTACTGGCTAGGTAGATCTCCTGGAATTTTCTAGGTTACTATCCTCTTATCAGGAGCATTGGAGTCACTGCATATGATGTCTAAATGTGTTTTCCTGCTTTTCTGAAACGTCATTTACTGAGTAGCTCTTACGTGCACTGTATTGTGGGTAGGTACTTGTGGTATTATACAGATGAAGGAGAATGTGGGGGCATAGGAAAGATGAGTAAGATAGGAGGGGGACAAATGTAAAATGATCAACATTAAAATAAATGCAATGATGGGCGCCTGGGTGGCTTAGTCGGTTAAGCGTCCGACTTTCGCTTAGGTCATGATCTCGCGGTTCGTGGGTTCGAGCCCCGCGTCGGGCTCTGTGCTGACTGCCAGCTCAGAGCCTGGAGCCTATTTCAGAGTCTGTGACTCCCTCTCTCTCTGACCCTCCCCTGCTCACGCTGTCTCTTTCTCTCTCTCCTAGAAATAAATAAAAATATTTAAAAAAAAAAAAAAATAAATAAATAAATAAATGCAATGATTGAGTAAAACCCCAAGTGCCCAATGGAAGATAAACCATTTGGCGTTCTTGGGTCTCTTCCACTCTCAGAGAATAAGTATTAAAGGGGAGATAAAACATCTGATTGAGAAATTGATTAAGGCTTCGTGGAAGAGGTTGTGTATGACATGGACTTAGATTTTGATCTGTTGAATTTAAGAATTGATAACATATGAGAAATACTTGCCAGGAAATTTAGTGTTGGACTCACATTGAGTGATTGGCATTTTACTGAAGGGAAACAACCTTTGGGGTTTCTTGATATTAATGAAATTGTGCCCAATTCTAAATGTGTTTATATTCTTAGGTTACTATGTTTTCTCCTGGAATTTTAAGTGAAATGTTGAAGAGTCTTGTTTTTCATTGAATCCTATTATTAATATTATTTTAACAATAGTGTGATTGTGAGGCATGTATACTGTTACCCTCTGGATATCTTTGAGGAATTTTGATCTGCAAACTAAACATTTCTTTAAGTTTATTTATTTTGAGAAAGAGATAGAGAGAGAGAGCGAGAGAGCGCGTGCGAGAGAGAGACCTCGTGTGCAAGTGGGAAAGGGGCAGAGAGAAAGAGGGAGAGAATCCCAAGCAGTCTCTGCATTGTCAGCACAGAGCCTGATGCAGAGCTCGAGTTCAGGAACTGTGAGATCATGACCTGAGCCAAAGTTGGACACTTAACTGATTGAGCCACCCAGGTGCCCCTAAATATTTTCTTAATTTTTACTTTCTGTTGTTCTTTTGGAACTTTCAAAATCACTATATCCATAGATTTTTTATTGCAATTTTTCTGTCTAGAGCTATGTCAAAAGTTGCCGCAGTTCTTTCTTGCACATCACTGACTTAAATACATTTTTTAGTTATTACCTATGAACGAACGTAGGTAAAAATGAAAATCACTCATTTTCAACATAATGGAATAATCTCACTATTTAAGATAACAGAAAGTGTGGCCTGATATTTTTAGAGATGTGTCCTGGATAATTTATGGATAAACTATTACAATGCCTGGGATTTGATTTAAAATAGTTGGGAGTCAAGAATGGGGTTAGGCAGGTTATTGAAGTCTGGAGTTTAGTTAACAGTTAATGCACCAGTGTTAATTTCCTACTTTTGGTAAATGTATCATGGTTACATAAGGCATCAACATTAGGGCAAACTGGATGAAAGGTATATGGAGCTTTCTGTACCATCTATGTACCTTTTCTATAAATCTTAAAGTATTCCAAAATAAAAAGTTGGGCAATAGGGCAAATATGGCAGAATGATGAAAATGGCTGAAACTGGTTGAGGATTCTGTGTTTCTCTCTTGGGTAAGCAGAGCTTTGCTGGCCTCCCTCTTCCATGCATCTCATCTGAGTGTGCCGGGCACTACCCAAACATGGACATTTATCTCTATTTCATGTAATCCTTGGCTGCACATTCATTCATACCATCTAACATTCGAAAGACTGTCCCGTTCCTTAGAGGAAGGAGCATGAATGGTTTCTAGTGATTAAGTGTCTCATAATGGATTATGATGTAACTCAAGTGTAATGCATTCATAAAAGAACTGCTAGAAAACTGATGTTGTTGGATACAGTTTATAAATAGCCCTCCATCACCAGTTGCCCTAGACCTCCCTTTACCGTGTCATTTAGAATAAAACATTAGTAAGGGGAAATTGAATATATGTGCTAATATAACGTTGACATTAGGAATGCTGTACAGAGACTTTTTCTCTTTCTTAATAAAAAGGGAAAGTTGACTGACCTTTCATGCATGTGAGGAGAATATAAGAATATACTTGAAAAAAGAAGTGTGCGCCTCCTTCTTTCAGCCCCTGATCTTGAAGATGTGGTCCTAAGTGAGTGAAGACCAAGGAGAGAAAGAAGACCATTGGGGACTTTACTAAAAGATTCAGGAAATGAAACTAGTAGTTGTATGTATGCCTATTTGAGTGATGTCTTGATCTGTCCATCAGTAAAAACATGTTAGGCCATCAACAAGGACAAGTTATAGTGTATCAGCTTCTACCAGCCTGTAACGTAATTGTGTCCTTTACACCTTATGTCAGATAGGTGACGCAGTTCGGGGTTCCTGTCATACCACTAGTTGGCTAGAATTTGTCCAGTACTTACCACGTTAGAAGTGTAATAGGCATTTTCTTTTGTGCATTTTCTCATTTATTATTCCCTATAAACTCCAGGAATATTAAAATTGTACACAGGAGTCGTCTCAGGTTCAAGTTTCAGAAAATAATTCTTCCCAGTGCAGAACTAAAAATAGCCCCAGAATCAAACTTGCTTTGGTAGCTTCCAGGAACACCATTTCTTTCTTTCTTTTCTTCTTTTTTTTTTTTTTTTTAACACAAATGGGAAAGTTTATTAAAGTGAAAAGTACACTTTTGAGATGTGAGAGTGGGTGAGCTTGTGCGCGCGCTCTCTCTCTCTCTCTTTCTCTCTCATGCTGCCAGGAACACCATTTATTAATCACTGCAGCTAGTGCAAATGTATTACCAATTGGGCTTTTACTATTGAATTGAGAAAAGCCCTACACAATCTTAAGTCTGGTTTTCTAAACCTTTAGTATTCTTTTTCCTAAATCTTTTATTTAATACCATCTATTCTTTCTGCATTACTGAAAGTCTAGAGAATTTGACCTAAAGGTTGTGACCCTGAGAGCTAGAGTCACCTGTTCTTAAAACTGCCAGCCCCACGTGGGGTCTGTCTCAGACATGGCACCGGCCAGCCCAGCATGTGCTGTGTTCCTAAGGAGGCCTTGCTATGTGGATCCGGCATGTCTATTTTAAGGCCATTTGACCAGTGCTATTTTTCCATACCTTTGATTTGAGTTTCTAGTTCCAAAACTGTAGCTTTAGCAGTTACTATAGTTTAACAACTCACTTGGAAATGTTATAGGGTATATTTCAGGTTACTACAAAATAAAAGTAAGAAGTCACTGGATTTGTCATCACTAACGTTAGGAAATCTTTATTTATAATCTACCAGTAGAATATGAGTACATATAGTACATCAAAAACTATCCATATATTTCCAAGCCTTTTTCAAAGTAAATGTAGTTATTGTATTAGAAAAACAGTTAGATATTAAAAATTGCAGTAGTGAGCCAAATGGTGGATTAAAAATAAATCAGGCACAGGTGATTTCATGTAAAAGTCAGCTGGACTTTATTTGGTATGATATAAAGGGTTTGAAATTGTGTTGCCAAAGGGCTTTCTGGCACCCTACATGGAGATTGTTTTGCATATTTCTATCAGCAGTCAGTTCCCAGTATTCAAATGAATGCTTCATGAACGACTCTGAGTCTGTGTCATACAATTCTTTAGATTTCAAGGACCATGCAAGGTGTCATGTTAGTTCAACAGGAATTTTTAGTTTTTTTGTACAAATGTGGGTTAAAGAGCATTAACAACCACAAGAGTACTGCTCGGTTTACATTTAGAAACAGTTTCTGAGTAAACCAGCGCACATATAGTAGCTGTGTTCTACTTAGGCTCTCTTTTCTCTTTCCCACTACTTATTGTCACTGAGGCAAGAATTGATAGCATGAAAAATCCCATGTTTTATGCACTGCTTTCACCACTTGATTTGTCTTTTGGAGTCTTGGTCTCCTTATGCGAAGCAAAAGTCTTGGTGACTTTTAAACGGAATGCTTTTGAGAGATGATAGTACAGGATGGGATCAAAACACAGGTTCGACACTGCCAGGAGCAGCGTGGCCTCTTTCGCTTTGAAGAGTGAGATCCTGGTTGGGCAGTCAGATATTACTTCTGTCTGGCTGAGGGTGTATGGGATTCGGACAATGTGATACGGAACAAAGCATATGATGTAGCCTGTGGTCACTAAAAGTATGTTGATGAGGGTCCTTTTCACATACGGATAATTTTCGTTATCTTTGTTTCTGTAGAGTTGTCGAATTACAAGACAGTTAGATATTAAAATGATGGCTGAGAAATTTAAAAATATTGCTACACTTAGGAAATTTGTTAGCAAATGCCAATTTCTGCCAAACTCCTTTTTGAATTCCATGCATCCCACATTTGGCTTCTCCTCAATGTCTTTGATGGGAATTATCATGTTGGGCACCATTATAAGAAGGACCATCAGCCACACCACGGTCGATATCATTTTGGCAAATCCAGGTTCTTGTATCCGATAAATCTTAGAGCTGTATGTCAACTGAAGACAGCGGTCAATACTGACAAATGCCAAGAAGATAATTGATAAGTACATGTTAATGTAGATGAGGCAGGCTGTGACTTGGCAGTGGAATATCTTTAGCTTCCAGGGTGCCACACCCAAGTCAACAACGATTTTCACTGGAAGTGCCAGAGTGAGCATGAAGTCGGCTGTAAGCAAGTTAATTAAGTATATGCTCACACACCTATGGTTTGCTTTGTTCTGTATGAAAGCCCAGGTTGCAAAACCACTTCCAATAATTCCAACAAGGAAAACCAAATAAAAAAAATAGGTGAATGGCTCCAGATCTGTGTAAACTGGGCAGAAGATAGAACTGTTTGTCATCTTGAGGGAAAGTAAGGATGACTCTTCAGGAAAAAAATATCCGAAGAATCTGTTTAAAAAAAGGGGTGGAGGAGGGATGTTAGTAATTAAAATTAGCAACTATTTACTCTTGAAATATCTACATTCACAGTGTCCAGTCACAGTTTTTCTAATTCTTAGAGGGAATTTTATTGGTGAACTTACTAGATTGTGTTAACTGGTAGGAACATTTGTGACTGAGGAAGCCTGGGTTTTCCATGGTGTGATTTCATGATTTTGGAAATCCCGTGTAGGTTTGCTTCTAGAAGGAATTTTTTTTTAAGATTTTATTTCTTTTTATAAAGAGACTAATGATTTAAGTTTTTTAATTTATTTTCAGAAAGCAAGCAAGTGTGAGTGAGTGTGAACACAAGCAGGAGAGGGGAAGTTAAGAGAGGGATAGAGAGAGAATCCCAAGTAGGCTCCACCCTGTCAGTATGGGGGTGGGAGGCTGGGCTACAACTCAGAAACTGCAAGATCATAACCTGAGCCGAAATCCACAGTCTGACACTTAACTAACTGAGTTGCCCAGGCATCCCTTAAAATTTTATTTTTAAGTGACCTCAACACCCAACATGGGGCTCGAACTTAACAATCCCCGAGATCAAGAGTTGCTCACTTTACCAACTGAGCCCACCAGGCACTCCTAGAAGGGATATTTTTGACATCACACTTTTGTATTCTGGTAGTTCTTTTGTCACCAGTTGGGTTGGAAGTTAGTTTGCAGAGGAGTGAACTGAAATTCTGAGAAACACAGAAAGGAAATGAGGGTAACATAGTTAGGTTGTGGCTGAGCCTAGAGAGGTTTCACTGAGGCTTCCTGGCATGCTTTTTTCATAGATTGATAAGAGCTTTTCATGCAGGAGAAACATAGGCTGAGAGGGTAGGTAATGGGTGACAGAAAATGGTACTGAAATTTAGAGGAGAGTTACTTTGCAAGTAGGCCCTGCATTGTGTTATCTACCAGAACATTTTCACAGTCAAAACTGTATTTCATTTTTCTTTGTAGCAGAAAGAGTTGAAGGGTTAGAGTCTGGTCTTGAGTTGGTGCTTATCCCTTCCTTTTCCCTCACTCAGGGTTCCTAATGACGTAGACCTTGTGGTGTCCAGTATGTAGCCACATGTGACTGGTTATGCACTTGAAATACGACCATTTCAGATTGACATGTTGCTGTGAATGCAAAATACACACTGAGTTTTAAAGATTTTTTAGGAAATATTATAAAAAACAATATAAGTATTAAAATTTCACTATTTTCACAAATGGTACAGTTAGTAAAATATTTCAGTATTTTTAGGTTCCACATATGTTGAAACGATATTTTTGATATGTTGGGTTAAATATATGATTAAAATTAATTTCTCCTGTTTCTTTTTGCTTGTTCAAATGCAGCTACTAGACAATTCTAAAGTGCCTTTCCGGTTTGTGTCCTAGTTCTGTTAAACAGTGCTTGTATAGATGTTTCTGTGTCAGTGTTTTGTTTTGGGTTTTTTTTTAATTGTTTTTAATGTTTGTTTATTTTTGAGAGAGAGAGAGAGAGACAGACAGACAGACCAGAGGATGAGCCAGTTTGGGGCAGACAAGAGAGGGAATCAGAATCTGAAGCAGGCCCCAGGCTCTGAGCTTCAGACATGGGGCTTGAACTCAGGGACCACAAGATCATGACATGAGCAGAAGTCGGATGCTTAATCAACTGAGCCACCCAGGTGCCCTTGTGTCATTGTTGTTGAGAAATTAGACCATGAATGTATTTTAAAGGCTTCTAGAACAAGAATATATGATCATTGGTTACAAAATTTTCAAGGAGAAGCTTAGTTATGTTAGTATGAAAACATCTATCATACTTGAGTGGTTTTTTTTCTTTCATTGTAAGTTTTGAAAAGTGTAGGCCATGTCCTTAGAACCACTGTGATTGACACTGATAGCGATGAAATCATGACACGTTCCCTCCACATCTGGAATAATTGGAGGTTGATAAGTACAAGTTAAACCATTTGGGTTTCATTACCCGCCCTGGCCTGGTCTAAATTAATGGTTTTTTTTTTTTTTTTTTTAAATTAATGTTTTTAGTGCCACAGGCACCTCTCTCTGGTGCTGACTCTTGGTGTGTGCGCTCCTCATGCATAGTAAACACCTTCTTTTTGTTTTAAAGACAAGAAGATTTTGTGTTTTAGTTTTTAGAAAAAAACCTGATACACAACTTCTTAAAAATAGGAAGTAATAAGTATAGTAACTAAAAAGGCCAAATAAGCCCATTCTCTGAAACCTCTGTTTAAAACAACAGACGCACCTGGGTGGCTTAGTCGATTAGGTATCCAACTCTTGATTTTGGCTCAGGTCATGATCTCACGGTTTATGGGATTGAGCACTGACAACATGGAGCCTACTTGGAATTCTCTCCCTCACACACACACACAAAAAAAGTAAAACAACAAAAAATTTTCAAAGCCTTTCTAATCCTTATTTCTCCTAATTAACTACTATGTACATCTTGGGATGAAACAATCTACAAGCAGACTGATGAGGCAGATGTACATAAAACTTTATAAAATGTCATTTTAAAGGGTACATGTCCTCCTCTTTCCCTACTTGGGAAAGAACTTCAGAGTTCATGCATAGTTCATTCATTCTGTACTAAACTCATTGAAAATAGTTGAGTGCTTAGTTGGCGTCTGATAGTGTGCTAAGTATTTTACCTTTCACTCTTTCTGTCATGTTGGTGTTGTTATCCCTACTTTACAAAGGAGAATACTGATGGGGCGCTGGGTGGCTTAGTCAGTTAAGCGTCCGACTTTTGCTTAGGTCATGATCTCGCGGTTCGTGGGTTCGAGCCCCGCATCAGGCTCTGTGCTGACTGCCAGCTCAGAACCTGGAGCCTGTTTCAGAGTCTGTGACTCCCTCTCTCTCTGACCCTCCCCTGCTCACGCTGTCTCTCTCTCTCTCCTAGAAATAAATAAAACATTAGAAAAAACAAAAACAAAAACAAAGAATACTGAGGCACAAGGTCAAGTAACGCCCAGGTTATATAGCTGTTAAAATTACAGAACCGGGATTCCAACTCAGAAGTCTAATCTCAGAAGCTATGTTCAAAATCACCCTAGAATTCTGTCTCAATAAGAGTAATAATGATGACAGTGATGATGATAATTACTATTATTATAGTAACCAGCCTTACTAAGTGCTTACTCTGTTGCAGGAACTCTATTTGAAGCAGTTTTCATATAAAAGACCACAAAATATTGTTCTTAACTTTACCTAAATACAAATAAGGGAAGTTCGAACTTTTAAATATTTTGATGTTTATATTTAAAAAACAAAACAAAATTATGTTCTATCTTTTAAATCTAAACCTCCCTTAGTTTTCAAAATTCCTATGAACTACTTGTTTCAAACCATCCCTATGGTCTCTGTCCGAATTCTCTACATGGGTAGAATCTCTAATCTTCTGTGACCTGCTCCTTCCTGCCTTTGTGCTTTTGGTTGTGATAAAATTTGGGGGATCATAGGACTTTAAGGATGGAGGGAACCTTTATTGATAGGGTCTAGTCCAAGTCTCAGATCAGTTGAGGACATTGAAGTCTGACATTTGAGTATTGCTCAGGATTTTCCAGCTTGTGACAGCAGGCTAGAAGCTGACCATGTTGATTATTTTCTAGGCTTTCTGCCCTTACCCTTGCTAAGTCCAAATCCTTCCTATCTTAAAATGCCTGGAATAAGCTCTTCATGTCGGAAGTCTACTCCAGGCTTCTTAGGACTTTGATTTGTGATAGTAACCATTTATTTGAACCTTGGCACTCTGAGTATCCTTTTGTTCTCTGAGTCTAAAGCTAGTTAGTGTTGGTATAAATTGATCCTTGTCTCCATCTCTCACCTTTGCTCATTATTCCTTTGCCGTGTGTTAGGATTTTGGCTTATGCTCTTGTATTTCATATAATAGTTAACATAATACTGTTTTTTAAGTGCTCCTATTGCTTATATTTATACTAATTTATACACAAAAGTCTCATTTTATAGATGAATATATGGTAAAGAGTATTAGAAAATTATTTGTTTTGATCAGTTAATATTATCTGTAGCTAGAGCTGGCCAATACACCCATATCACATATGGGTAATTTACTTAGAAATAATTACAGTGTAACTATTTATTTGATGATGCAGGAGAATCCTGTAGTGACTTTACCCTTGGTTTTCATGAACCTCAGTCTAGATTGCAATGAAAAACAAATCTCATTTAAAATTTTTGGTATATCGATTAGAAGTTAAATTATACTCCAATAACACTGTGATTTATCACAAATTAGAAAACCAAGTGTTTGATAATTATTTTGTAAACCAGTTATTTATTTATTTAAAAAAATTTTTTTAATGTTTTTAATTTTTTTCTGAGAGAGAGAGAGCATAGGAGGGTCAGAGAGAGAGAGAGAGAGAGAGAGAGGGAGATATAGAATCTGAAACAGGCTCCAGGCTCTGAGCTGGCTGTCACCAGAGCCTGACACGGGGCTTGAGCCCACGAGCCATGAGATCATGACCTGAGCTGAAGTCGGACGCTTTACTGACTGAGCCACCCAGGCACCCCTGTAAACTAGTTATTTAGCCTGTGGAAATTTGAGGTACACAGAGGTGCTACAGCAAAATCAAGAAAAGATTTCAAGTGTCTCCTCTGTTTGGATAGAGTGACCATTGCTCAGAAAACAGACCCATTAGATTTTTTTTAATGCATGTCACAATGCAATGTTCTTGAATTTACCTATCAATGTTTGTGGAGGAAAGTCCTTTTAAGACCTGTTGTACCCTGTTGTAAAACCTACAACATGGTGTTTATCCATTCTGTTATAAAATATAACATTGACCTACTGAATAGTTACGTTCACTTTTAGTTAAGTGATTCAGTTTTGTATAAATTAAGCTCTTTTGAGAGGGACGACTGGGGTCATTAGATAGAGGAAAGCTCATAGCGAGAATCTATTTAGAGTTTAATAATGAGTGCCCCCTTACACAGCAGCCATATTACAGGTAGTCATTTCC